AGTTCTGCGGACTTGAGCTCATTGATCACAAGCCTTGCCGCTTTTCAATCGGACTCCAACTGCGCCGTGCTTCACACCAAGCTTCTTGAATGGGCGACGAAGCACAACAGCGCCATGGCCCTCAGCGACATGATCGCCACCCTCGACAACTACATGGAGGTGGCGAGCCAGCAGCCCTACCCGGAGGTGATCGTCATTGACGTCGCGGCTTTGAAGGCTGTGCTGCCCAAGGTGAGCTTGCCATTGCCTGGTGTCGCGCAACAGAAGCTTCACAGCTTCCTGGCGCACCTGCTCAAACGCTCTGTGCTGCAGGCGCGGACTTTGATGAGTTTCCACTTTCCACAAGTTTAGCAACGGTCGTTTAATAAGCCGACGGCTACTACGCAAATTTTGGCCTCACAATTGCAATTCTCTGAAGCTAGCGGCTGGTAGCGGGGGTAGCAAGTAGCAGCAGCGGCGGGAGGAACAGGTTGCTGTGCCCTTGTCTGATTTGCAGGTGCAGCTTAGCTCCGAGATGAGCTCCGCTGTCACTGGCCTCGTGGCCTTGCTCAAAGGTTTGGAGAAGGTGGCCAGTCCTATGCGTCACATGGAGTACTTCTCCTTGGCGGTTGAGATGTTGAAGCTGGCAGTGACGTTCAAGCTTCAGGCTGCCAGGATGGAGGTGTCCAGTGACGGGATCAAGAACGACCCGAAGAACGCGATGCTCTACCAACTCTGCACTGTGCGTGGCGCCTTTGGGGATGCGGCCAGCAAGTTGCAGGCGTACGCCGAGCAGCACCTTGCCGCTGCCGCTGCTGTGGATGATGATGTCGGCTTTCCGCTGGCGCTGTGCGGCGACGACTTGTTTCAGATGCTGGCTCCCCAGTTGCAGCCCGAGGAGTTGTTGGACGCGGTCCGCGTGCAGTGCGTGCAGCACAAGATGTCCATCCGCAGCATGGTCGTGTCGCTTGAGAACGCGGCGGGGCATTTGCACACGGGCGACAAGTCGTGGAAGATCAACTTGCCCGAGGACAGGTCTGTCCTTGCTGAGGCTGATGCCGTTGTGCGTGGCACACACTTGGGTATTGAACGGGTGGACTTGGGCATGGACTTTGGCTATAGTTATAGTTCAGTAGTTGACTGATTTGGCTTTAGCTGCACTTTAGCTGCTTGATGTTTTACTTATGTTTCTTGGCTTTGCTCGATCTTTGGCTTTGTACATTACACTTCTGTTGTCAGGCTTAGCCACTAGTCAGCTGGTGCATGAGCTGTACTATACTTGTTGGCGTTTGTGTGTGTGTGTCTTGGTCCGTGAGTCTTGTCTATTTAAGGTTCCGTTTGTCCTGTCTCTCTGTCTGCCTGCCTGCCTGCCTGCCTGCCTGTCTGTCTGTCTGTCTGACTGTCTGACTGTCTGTCTCTGTCTGTCTCTGTCTGTCTCTGTCTGTCTCTGTCTGTCTCTGTCTGTCTGTCTCTGTCTCTGTCTGTCTGTCTGTCTGTCTGTCTCTGTCTCTGTCTGTCTGTCTGTCTGTTTGTCTGTCTGTCCGTGTCTGTCTGTCTGTCTGTCTGTCTGTCTGTCTGTCTGTCTGTCTGTCTGTCTGTCTGTCTGTCTGTCTGTCTGTCTGTCTGTCTGTCTGTCTGTGTGCTTGTCTTCACATTTCTTTGTCCGACAACCTGCTATCTCCTGTGTGTCTCTGCGTGGCTTTTTGAGTCTGAGTCTGGGTGAAGATCTGTCTGTCTCCGCGCGTCTGCTTCTGTTAATGATTGTTAATGATAATGAATACATGAATACATGTAATGCAATTAATTGTAATATTGTAATCTCTGCCTGCCTGATCCTGCCTGTCTGCTACTGCTATTGTTTCTTGTTTTTGGCGCCGATCTGTCAAATTTAGCAGGCTCTGTTTGCTCGCTGCTGTTTGGGGCTCTCTGACTTTGTGTCCAGTGTCCATCTCTGCTTGTCTGTCTGTGTCTGCCTGTCGATGCCAGTCTCTGCCGTCTGTCGACTCTTACACTTACATTACATTGTACATTGTACATTGTACATTGTACATTGCACATTTACATTCACCATGCCACACATTCTCTGTACACTGTAGACTTAGACACTCACACATGTCTATCTGAGTCTATCTGTTTGCTATCTGACTGCTATCTTTGTCATATAGCCGCATAGCCATGTCTCTGGTGGAAAAGTCCACCTTGGTTGGGGCAGTTGTGCTGTGTTGCACCGTGACGTTTGGCTGGTGTGTTGGAAACTCAGTACTCAGCAGTGTATCAGTGGAACAAGTCAACAAGTCTTGTTTGCTTGCTGAGTCTCTCTTTGGCGCCCTGGCAGTTGCAGGAGTGCAGCTTGGAGGAGGTCGTCCAGCGGGCGAACAAGACGGTGGGCACGATCATTGGGAAAAACTTGAAAAAGCACCTTGGCGACTTCACGCAGGCCCCTTGGCCAAATGAGCCTACATTACGACTACGATTAGAGTTTGAGAATTGTTTTCAGCGTATTTCTGTTTAGTTTCATTGCCAGCCCTGCCAATGAAGCTGCGGCATCCAGTAGCGGTCAGTAGCGTCAGTAGCGGGAGATTACAGCTGGCCCTCGTCCGGCGTTAGGCTTGTCTTGGGGCCCAAGTCTAAGCAGATGTTTCTGCCCCTGCTATCCCAGGCAACTTCGGAGATGGAAGAGTTTGCCGACAAGGTGGCGGTCTTCGGCAACATGGGCGACGGGCTGGGCGAGGAGCACGACAGCTTCGTGGAGTGCCTGCGCGATTGCGCGCAGATCCGGGCCGCGGTGCGCATCCAGTACGTGGAGAGTGCGCTGGCCTACGCCTTGAGCTACTTGAGCCAGCCGGACCAGGGGGCTGGCCAAGGCAAGAGCCCCGACGCTCTGAAGAAGGTCCTCGCAGAGCAGTTCAACCAGATCGCCACGCACGGGCTCGATGAGGGCATGGTCCAGCCTGCCCTTTTGGCGAGTGCGAAGGCTCTGCAGGGGTGAGCCACAATCAAAACCTGGTAGATGAAGGTTAGTAAGGAACCAAGGAACCCCTCTTGTTGCTTGGAGCCACCCTTTAACTCTTTACATGGTTTTGGGTAGAGTCTACCAGGTTTTGATTTGTAGGAGTAGCTGGCTGGAGGCTAGCGCGTGGCAGCCGCTTTGTGTCAAGCGAGGCACCGGGGCTGACGAAGTGTGGGAGCTAGCAGCTAGGGCATCAGCCATGATTCCATGATGTTGGAGCCGGCGTGCCTCGCTGAACTTTTGGTGGCTGTAGCAGCTGCTTTGTGTCACGCAAGGCATTGGGGCTGTCGATGTTTGAGTTTCATGCTGAGCTAGGCATCAGCCATGATGTTTGAGGTAGGGCGTCAGCCATGAAACCGGTCCTTGGGGCCCCAAGATGTGAGTGCCTTGCTTGTTTTTTGCTGGCTGGATGGAAGCTAGCACGCAGCAGCTGCTTTGTGTCACGCAAGGCATTGGGGTCATTGGGGCTGTCGATGTTTGAGTTTCATGTTGAGCTCAGCTAGGCCAGCTAGGCATCAGCCGTGATGTTTGAGGTAGGTCAGTCATGAAACCGGTCTTTTGGGCCCCAGTATTTGAGTGCCTTGCTGTTTTTTTGCTGGCTGGATGGAACCTAGAGCAGCTAGCACGTAGCAGCGTAGCAGCTGCTTCTTGTCTCGCAAGGCGTTGGGGCTGACGATGTGTGGAAAACATGCTTTAGCTAGGGCCTAGGGCTAACCAAGATGTTTGGGCTTGGGCGTCAGCTAGGAAACCGGGTCATTTGGGCCCACCAGTGTCCCAGCGCTTTGCTGAACTGTTGGCCTACGGTGGTGTACAGGGCCTACGGAGCCTACACCCACTGCACTGCATGCTGCACACTGTACACTGTACTTCACTGTACCATGGAACCGCGCACGCAAAAAAGGTTTGCTGCTAGCGGCTAGCGGCGCTAGCGATACGACACCCAAGTTGCTCAATGAACAAGTCTTGTTACTTAGGCTTGGCTTGCTTGACGCTAGGGGCTTCCTTGGTAAAACCCTCCTTCCTGCAAAACTGAAACCCCAGTCCTGGCCGCGGTGTAGGCAGCGATTTCCATGGCAGCGCTCGGATCAGTTTCCTAAATGATGTAGCTGTCAAGCTCAGGTTCTCCGAATGTTTGACTGTTCAAGGATGAATGTTTGACTGCTCAAGGATGAATGTTTGACTGCTCAAGGATTCTCAACGGCGTTGCCAAAGATGTGTACATTGTGTAGGCCCTCTTGTGCTTGACAACTTTCTTACTTGCTGCTTTTTGAAGTGAGCGCCCCATCAGCAGTAGGTAGCAACGGGGCGCGCTCCACGTGCAGAACCCACGCATGAGGTTATGAGGTCGCGTGCTTGTTTGGGAAACTGAGGACCTTGCCCGTTGCTATTTAGATTGCTATTGTGATCACTAATTTAAATTCTTGGAACATTCAATTGCAATTTCAATTCACAATTCATATTGCTATTATTTACTATTATTTGCAAAATAATTATTTTATTGTTTCCAGAGGTTCCCTGCAATCCAAACTCTTAATGTTAAAGAGAAACACAGTAGGACACCCGTCATGTTAAAGTGTTTTTGGGAGGTTCTCCTATGAAAACAAGCACTCGTATGGTGATCGCAAGGGGCAACATGACCTTAAGTCTCCTTTCGTTGGGATCCCGTAACATTCACCCAGGCATATGCGCTTGACAGACGGGCATCCAGTTGAACAAATGCCCAGATGTTTGATCCTCTTGGAACGTCATTGATGCTCCTCCTTTCAATCTGCAATGTCCTCCATCCACGAACATGGAATCTGACTGAGGGTGTTGAATGACCATGTCCTCCATCTGACGGGAGGGTACCCTATCGGGGTCAAAAGCCTAGGTGGTTGGGCAAGTTTACTGGATCGGAAAATATAATTATCACTACTGGACGTTTTTTTTTTTTTTTTAATGACTTATCACTACTGGACAGTTTTTTTTTCCGAGGGGTCTTAACCAAATGGAAGTATAGGAAACTGTGCAGGTAGCAACGTGCTGTACCTGGCGGCGCACTGTGGCTTGGACCGGATCTGCGATCTGATGCTGCAGCGGGGGGTGAAGCCCAACACGGAGGTCCCCAAGACGGTGGGGAATCAGCTGGTCCAGGAGAAGCGGAGGTCGACGCGGACTGGGCGTGTCCTTTCTTTGGGGGAACCCCGGGACCCCTCATTTGGGGTTGGTCCAGTTTTGGGGTCCCATTTTGAGATAGACCCATCCCAGCTCAGGCGATTCCACCCTCTCCAATCCATCGATTGCAAGCTTTTTCGCGAAAGTTCAGGGGAGCGGTTTACCAAGTTGGTTCTGGAGAGAGAATCCCTTTCCCCTAACAATAAAATGCGCCTCCCCCCCCCCCCTCCGCCCCCCCCAAAAAATATACATATATATATATATATAAAACAAAATCTGCCAGCAAAGCATTTTTTATTCTCAAGGGTCCCCGGCTCTGGAGGGCAGGTTTTGCGTGCGTTCGTGCGTGCGTGCGTGGAGCTCCCAGAGCTCCGGCGTGCTGTTGTGTGTCCCCCAAACTGGGGTCATTATTTTGACGGTGTCTGGGGGTTATCAAAGTCAGGAAATGGGGTTGCTTCCCTTAAACCACCACTCAGGTGACTTTGATCACGGTAAAATCATGAGGCCAGCCTGGGGCTGGATTTGACCCGGAAAGTACCTTCTTTAGAATTGGTTTAGCATTGGCTATTCTAAAAGTAGTGTTCCCGGAACTTGGGGCCTCGGAAACAATTCTTCAGGGAGACCTTTAGGGGGAACGGATTAGGTTTGTCTGCGGTACACCTTTCCTGAACAAAAGGAACTAGTTGCCTTGTGTCGTTTCCCCTGTAAGCTTTAGACTCTATTTGCCTGTTTGGGCCATTTGCCCGTGAGGCAGAAGGACCATGCCATCCAATGAAGAGTTAGCTGAGACTTAGAGGCGTTTCCACACCACGGCTTACTAGGATCGACTCTGCACTCGAGGTTGGAAGCTGACGATTTTAGCGAGACAGAACTGAGCTGAAATGGTTGACTGATCTAGACTCTCTTAGAGTCGCTGGCAGACGTAGAACTCCTGCTGAGATCAGCGCAAAACCAAAGCAGTCGGGTTGCTCCGATCCAAGTCCCAACCCTGGAGCTATAGACTTCATACCAGGACATTGGGGAACGGCTCAGCTACGACTTCCACGTGCGAATATTTTTGTACCAGGGCCCTCCCAAGCAGCTTTTGGTGCCCAGCCAATGCCATTGTCCAGGGTCAAGTTTAAGCGCTGATACCGCTGAAGGTTTCAGCTGCAATCAAAGCCTGGGTAGATGAAGGTTACTAGGGGACCAGAACTAGGTGCAGCCGCCCTTTTGATTCTTGGCATTGTTTTTGGGTAGATTGTGACTCAGCTGGCTTGAACAAATCCAGTTTTAGTGCCTTCAAAGCGTGAACGACTGGAACATTGACATCGGAGTTCATCTTCTTACCTCCTTATTATATGCAATAGAAACCAACCAGAGCACATATTTCCTGCAGCTTCTTCCCAACCCCTTTTGTGGGAACCAAACAACGGGGTCAAAAGAAGAGAACCGGATTTCAGCGTTCCGCAGGAGCACGTCCGCGCTGTTTTGGAGCCCCACCGCTGGATGCTGCTGCGGCGCATGTGCCCGGAAGACAAGCCCGAGGCATGGGACGAGAGGGGCGGAGTTGCGTTCGGCTCAGTTTCCGTTGAAAAGGGGGGTTAATAAATGTCGCCTTTATCTTTCACCATGAATTTCCTCTCATGGAAAAGGGGGTTAATATTTTTGTTTACCATTATTTACCTTTCAGAGTCAGATTTCAGGAGTTTCATCCAAATTTGGTCCTGGCCAGTCTCGCAATGAGGTTGATTGTAGTAGGTTCGGTTCCCACCTGGCAGGAAAGGGATGGTCACTCCCCGGTAAACCTTTATAGGACATCATTCGGTGAATCTTTTGTGGCAAGGCGGCACGAAATGGAGGCGAGCTTAAGAGAGACAACGGGCGGGGACTCAAATGTGTACGTTCGAGCTACCGAACGATTCTCTGTTCGGCTGGTGTATCAAAGGAAGCCGGAGGGCAAGAAAAGACAAGTTGAGGGTCCCATTGATGCTCCTTGATCTTTACCAGCAGAATGCAACTTGCAAGGAGAGGGCAGTTTATGTGCAGGGCATCAGGCTTCCTGAAGATCTCTCGGGAGTCGATTTTACTTTCTGCAGTTTTTTCCCGTTCCCCGAACCCAAATTATTTCTGTGCGGAGGCGACGGCTGCAGCGGTCTTCAAGCAAGCCAGTGAGGTGCTTGGGGCAGTTTTGCAGTCCGAAAAGAGGGCATGAAGAAACAGGTAACTCTGGAAATTTTCTTATGGATTACCCCCCCCCTGCCTGGGTGATTTGTGGGGTGTACACAAGAAGCCAAAACAACTGACTATTATTGCAAACGTCATCCCAGATTGGATGCTTAAGACTTCAGACTCGGCTGTCCGGTGCCGCTTTCGGCCATCGCTTTGCAATGTTTTCAGATGGTTCCGGCGTTGGGGAATCGGAGTCCTTTAGTTATAGACCGAGCCAGCCACATGTTCGCGGGAACTTTGGAGTTCTTCTTGTGAGATGGCGCTGGAATCTGCAGCCCCTCGGCCTTCTTTGCGTCTCCTTGGTGTCAGGATAGCGTGTGAGTTCACAGCCTCAGAACAAACCACATCCCCACCCGCTTAGCAATGGAATGGGGGAGGGTGACCTCTGCGATTTTACGCATTCTAATTTGGATATTTACATGTTCCTCGCACAAGCCACAAGCTCACGCCAATGGTAACTAGCGTGTTTGGGGTTTGTTTGTTTTGCTTGCTTGCTTGCTTGCTTGCTTGCTTGCTTGCTTGCTTGCTTGCTTGCTTGCTTGCTTGCTTGCTTGCTTGCTTGCTTGCTTGCTTGCTTGCTTGCTTGCTTGCTTGCTTGCTTGCTTGCTTGCTTGCTTGCTTGCTTGCTTGCTTGCTTGCTTGCTTGCTTGCTTGCTTGCTTGCTTGCTTGCTTGCTTGCTTGCTTGCTTGCTTGCTTGCTTGCTTTGCTTGCTTGCTTGCTTGCTTGCTTGCTTGCTTGCTTGCTTGCTTGCTTGCTTGCTTGCTTGCTTGCTTGTGTTTTGTTTGTTTGTTTGTTTGTTTGTTTGTTTGGGCGGGGGTCTCTTTTTGCATCCCTGAAGAGGGGCCTTGAAATAGTTGCATCCGACTGGCAGCGTTACTGGACTGCTGGATGCAACATACAGGTCATACTCATCGGTTGTCTCCCCAAATAATATTCTACATTGGGAACAGTGATCCCTCTGCTGCAGCATTGAACCTACTGTCAATGTGTGTGTGTGAGTTGCTTCGAGGCTACCCTTTTTAAGATTAGTTTACAGGGAAACCAAACGGAATCTAGCATGTTGGGCGTCCCCCTATCTTGACACATACCCATGTTGAGTATTCCCGACTGCCCTTGGAATATCCTTCAGAATAATCACTGAATCCCTAGGGGCTTTGTCTTGAAGGGCCTCCTCCGTTTGGTTCCTTTGCATTCCGTCGACTCATCCGAGAACGGAGGTCGTCTTGGAAGGTGCTAACACCCATCGCGGTTCTGTGGGTTGTGGCTTCGAAGCTGTTGGTTGGGATGAGATTTGAGACCTGCTGTCCAATGTACAGCTGATTGGCATATCACGTTGGCGTTACTGTCGACACTTGTGTTATGTGGATGCATACAAAAGCAACCTGTGAGATAGCTGCCAATGTGCAAGCACGCACACGTGAAGACGCCAGCACCCCCCGCAAAAAGCACTTGGGGTTTTCGACGCGGGAACAAGCAGCAGTTGGAGATGGCTTTTTATGCATATGTGTCATCTTTCGGGGGACTCCAAAATGGCATCTCGCCCTCAGAACGCCCCATGGGCATCTCGCGCGATGCGAGAAACAAGAAAAAACAACAAAAAAACGGCGAGTCCTGGCCAGGAGTTTGCCGGCGACAGGCCCGAGGCAGGGAGCTCCGCCGAAGGATTGTTGTCGCATGTGGCTCAAAATTAAAGGAGGGCGCAGGTTTCAGTCTTTGGCATGTACCCTTTGGTGCCATGTTGGTAGCTTTGAGCCACAGCCATGTCAATCTCACTTGAGTTCATGGAGTTTAAACTTGTTGGGTTTGGACCATGCTATTCAATCAAGCAGTTCGGGTACTTTTCCTGGCCCATCAACTCGAGCGGAGTGAGCAATACACGTCTGTTTGCGCCTAGAAAAAGGCCCCCGACCAAGGCTGGTGAGGGATCCCCCGAGATGTGGGCGTCCTAGCCAAGGCCAAAAAGGGTCCTCAGTCATTGACGTATCCACAAACTCTCTGCGAGTTTGAGGCACCTGGGCTTCGGATTCCACCCATAGATTCTCCTTTGGGTCCGTGAGGACCTTTCAACCCTCCAAAAGTACCAGGGAGGCCGTTCGTTCTCCGCAAGTGGCAGGGTCTTTCTTTGAGGAGGCTCTTTGCATGCAAACAGAGGTGAACATGAGCGAAAATGAGTGAGAGTTCATCAAGGTTTTTGGATGGGTGAGCGCTCCTGTTGTTGTGTAGTTGTGTATTTCAGCTGCGACCTGCAAAGGGAAGGACTCAGCAGAACCCCGATCTTCCTCTGGTATTTCATGGCCTTCATAGGCGTCAAGGACAACAAACCCGTCTCCTGCCCTCCCTCCGCAAAGCGATGCAGCTAGAAGCCAACAACCAAAACATCTGCAGATACTCGAAGGGGACAAAACAAGGGGTCAAAGTACATTCTCACATAGTTACTTGGGTGTGCAAGCCGCTTAGGTTACAACCGGGTTGAGCATAGCATCAGCTGAGGTCCTTAAACCACTGAGACTGAATTGGCTGCGGCTTGGTCTTTTCTTCCGGGGGCGGGGGAACCTGAGTCAAAGGACAAATCCTGAACGAAATCCGGCAAATGATGGATGACACCTACCCAAACTGAGGATGAATCACCTACCAAGCGAAAGGCGGATTTGTCTCTCAATTGTTTGAGTCCAATCCTCTTCGCTAAATTTCAACCAAAGAGCTTGGTGTGCGTGAGTGTGTGCCATTCTTTGGAGGCACAAACATGATATAAACCCAGATAAATCTAAATGCAGAACCTCAAAAGTGGTTGGACATAACTCTCCCAGCTACATGTCCAGGGCCCGGGGCCCAAGAAAAAAGCGGCGAATGGGGGGGTAGCACCTCAAGGTCACTTTCCAAGGGAACACAAGCAACGCACCATCGCTCGCTTTCCCTGGCTTGGCGGCTGTTCGCGCGGGCCAGGACTTGGTGAAGCGGGGCGCGGTCTTCGCGGGCGTGGGCCCATTGCGCCCGGCGACCATGGCCTCCTTGCTGGATGACCCAGAAGCTGTGAAGCAGCGTGGCGGAGTCGGTGGCGTTTTGGGCTGCGAGGTTTGGTTTTCTCAGCTGAAAGCGATTTGGGGTCGATGGGCCCAGAAAGGCGACTCTGGGCTTCGGGGCAGCTTTCAGGGAGGGTTCACTGTAATGTTGACCCAGGATTAATAAACCTGTCCCATTATTAGGGGGGCGTTCTCTCCAAAAGTGGTCTGAATCCCCACTAACAGGGGACACCCCCCGATCAAAATCAACCAGGGGTTCTACTTAGATCCGGGGTTAAGATTACTACCGAGGCCTTTGTTGTTCTTCCTTCTTTTTTCCCCTCCTTTTTTCGGGGGGTTCTCTCCTTGGTTTGGCCTAGACAACACAGATGAAAACACTAAAAGCGCAATTAAGACTTAGACCGTCCTACAATGAACTCAAGGAAATTACAAAGGAAGCATATAAACATAAGAATAAAAGAGATGTAATAGACAGAAATGCTTTAGGGAAAGCAACATGCTCGGGGGTTCTGCCAGTTTGAGACCGCCAAATTCGGCTTGAGTGCTGTGGGAACGCTCAGATTCTAAGCTGAAAGGTTGCCCACATTTGGCATCCGAACATGGGACCCCACTAAGCTCTCAGTTCGGGGACCCCACTTGAGTTTGTGTGAAAGGTGGGGACTCCAAATGGTCGGGTTCATGCTCCTCCCTTTACAAACATGTCCAGAGTTGTGCCGGTGATGTTGACCTAGCTCCATTTCTTCAAACAACCGCGCAAAATCACACGGCTGCTCCGACGCTCGAAACTTTGGCCACAAAAGGGTAGACACTATGCCAGCGATTTAGCATGGTTGTTGTTGGGAAACATTTTTCATTTTTGCTTATTGTGGTTTAGTGGGAAATCCCCTCTGAACTGCTAAAACTTAATTTTTTGCTCCCCTTCCAACGGGGCTCGGCGCGAAGATTGGGAGCTGTTCAACTGGGTGAGGAGCTACCGGCGGAACTGCAGGGAAGGGGAGCGGATTCGCAGGCGGCAGTGCTGAGGCGTCAAAGACGCCAACACGTGTTGCGGATTGGCGTCATGGGTCATGGAACGGCCCTGGCAAGACAAGCCCCTTACCTGCAAGCACCCGGAAGCCAACGGACTTGATTGGAATTTCAATGTCCACCAAAGGGTCCAACCACTTATTTTTGTTTCTCCCCACCGAATGTTGACGTCCACCAAAGGGTCCAACCACTTAGCCATATTTTTCACCAGATGTTTGATGTCCACCAAAGGCCCCCCTTCACCCCCCTTTAACAAAATACACCCCCCAACACCACTCAAACAAAACCAAAACTAGGTCCCCCAGTAGTGCCCTTGTACCCCCTTTTTTGGGGGGAGGGTTCCCCTGCTAAATAGACTGCCGAAAAAAGTTGGTACCCTTATTCTAACCTCTCTACCGGAGGACCTAGAAAATCATGGGTCCACGTTTCCATCTACCAGGCAACCATTGTGGGTACACATTTTTGACCCACAGCCACATCAGACCCCAAAAACAGCGGCGGCTGGCCGGCGGCTGCGTTTGAACCGTTTGAGGCAGCTGGCGGAGGTGGACACCAGCGGCGACCCGCTGCCGGGGCCGATGCCGTCGGCGCTGATGTGGGCGCAGTGGGCGCAGGCGCAGCAGGCATCGCGGGTGATGCTGGATGCAGGCGCCCGGGGTGCGGGTTGCGGGGAGGGGCTGGGAGGGGAGGGGCTGGGAGGGAGGGGCTGGGAGGGGAGGGTTGGGAGGGGAGGGGCTGGGAGGGAGGGGCTGGGAGGGGAGGGGAAAAATAGTAAAAGGAGAATTCAAGGAATTCTACTTTTACTATTTTTTTCTCCATCAGCAACACAACAAACAGAAAACACAATCCAGAACAACAAGCAAACAAAATAAATAATCACAACCAGCAACAAAAATATTTAATCACAGCATACAACATTAAATAATTCAGACAAGCATACCAACAAAACAACAAAAATAAAAACCCTCAAAGAACCCAAACTCAAACACACACATCAACAAAAAGCAAAGCAACATACCAACAAAAAATATCAGAAGAGTATCAAACAAAATAAAAACAAACAGCCAAAGCACGAAAAAATCAAAAGAGCATGCCAAGTTCAAACAACGCACTTTGAAAGAGTCAAGCAAATTAGGAAAAATAAAATATTTCAATCTTTACAAACCATAAGTTCAGTATAATTATAACATATAAAATTTTACATGTTATTATTATAGTATGATTATAATTTCAGTACAGGATAATAATTTAATTGATTTGTCTTTCTTCTTTCATACATCATTTTAAAAATAATATTAATATCTCTCAATGTATTTTGAATATTAAACTTTTTACTTTCAATAAATAATTTGATATTTTCTTTAACATCTTCTCCTTTGTCTTGACTATATCCCAACATCCATAATATATCATAAATCATGTCATATTTTTTCTTACTGATTTTAAGAAACTGTTTAACATAATCATAAGGTGGTATTTTATTTACAGTTAGAAATATTAAAATCTCATCTTCTACATTTCTATTATGTCTTCCTTTTATTCTCAACAAACATTTGATTAAAAATTGATTATCTCTCCATTCCTGACAATTTTCACATTCGTCTTTTTCATCCATTGAATAATTAATAATATTATTCACTGTTTCATTAGGTAAATTTAATTTATACAATTCCATATTTTCTTTTTTGAAGTGACAACAATCATAGCATTTTTTATTGATATAATTATTGATTTTATCACCGTTCATTTTCCTCTTATTATATTAAGGCACTATTTCTTTAAGTCATTTTTAAGGCATTAATAAAAATTAAGAAACAAACCATAAGTATAGTATAATTATAACATATAAGATTTTACAATGTTAATTTATATTATAATAACATAATATAAATAAACAGCAGTCGCCCCAAAAAAGGGGGAACAGTCGCCCCAAAAAAGGGGGAACAGTCGCCCCAAAAAAGGGGGAACAGTCGCCCCAAAAAAGGGGGAACAGTCGCCCCAAAAAAGGGGGAACAGTCGCCCCAAAAAAGGGGGAACAGTCGCCCCAAAAAAGGGGGAACAGTCGCCCCAAAAAAGGGGGAACAGTCGCCCCAAAAAGGGGGAACAGTCGCCCCAAAAAAGGGGAACAGTCGCCCCAAAAAAGGGGGAACCCCACCTAATTTCAAGAAAACATGCTGTTTTGTCGTTGGATGAACCTAGAAATTTCAAGTTTCAAGCCCAACCCCAAACTCAAAATCCTTAATCCGTCAAACTCACCAAGATTTCACAAATTAATTCGCTAGGTATTTTATATAAATCTTCCTGCTTATGTATTGTTGGATTGTCTCCCCATTTTTCCTTAGTGCCCGATGGTAGCCGTTGTGCTGTTTCAATATGTTTATTATCCCTGATGTTGCCACAATCCTTTTTACATAAATCTCTAGGTTTCCATGTTGTAATGTTATTCCAAAGCCTAGTTCTCTTTCTGTAAGACATTCCATATTTACAATAATCTACATCTTTAAAATCAAACTCATCCATAAACTCCTGATTTTTTAATAATCCAGTTTGAGGATTTTCGATTACAAAATATTTAGGATTAAAATATTTAATAATTTCAATAGTTTTTAAAACTATACTATTAGCATATTCAATGTTTCTTATTCCCCTAGTTTTTGCTACACTATATTCAGTGCATGGGGGACTACTCCAAATAAAATCAAAATGGTTCCTATCAAATTGTTTATAATCCCATTTCAAAATATCAGTATTTATATCAGCATTTTTCAAATCCAATGAAATAACATTGAAACCGAGCGACTTTGCAACAAGTCCAACACTACCTGTTCCGCTAAACATCTCTAATAAGTTCATTATTAAAGATATTTAGATAATATTATCTATGAATAAAAATCCCTGTTTCCTCGTTAAAAACTAAACTATGTTTAGTTTTCAATGAGTAAATACAACTTTATGAATAAAGTTGCGTTTCCTCGTCATAGTCAATTTGATAAAATGTCATAGTTGAAGCCTTCGGTTCTTTAATTTCTTTGTTATTAAGTTTGTTTAAATAAATATTTCTTTTATTTTTATATTCACCACTGGTTCTATCTACTTCTTTACTTTGATAACTGTTTGTTAAAGGTTTCTTCTTTTCCATTTCTTGCAAGATTTCTAAAATATTCTTATTCTGTTCTAAAACCTTGTTCAGTTTTTTAACAATCTTATCTAATCCTTCATCCATGTAAATATATACTAAATTATAAAACTAAACTTTTAAATCTAAATGTTGCAATTATGTTAAATCTACTCTTTAAATACTAATTTTTCATTATTTGTTTAACAGTTTCCTGTGTTTCCTTATCACCATTATCTGATGGAGTAACTCCCCTCCCAAATCGTATAGCTATATTATGAACATCTGTTTCTAAGTTTATACTGTCTTTAGTTTTATCAATATTCATTTTCTTATCATTTCTACTTATTTTGAAACTTGTCGGAATACACGAACATTTACAGTTTCCTTTCTTTTGTATTTCTAATTCATTTTTCATTTCTAAGATTTATTTACACATTGGACAAGCAAACTCAATAACTGATGTTTCTTTAACAATTTCTTCTTTTTCTTCATCAGTTGAAGAAACAACTGATTCTGTCTTATTATTTTTCTTTCTTCCCATTTATATTAATATTTACATTTTTATTTTTGATATATTGTATCACAAACTTAATTAATTCTAAAATAAAATAACATATTTTTTTACATCTATTATCAGTTATAACAACTTGTTCTATATTCTCTACTTCATCTATTATATCAATATAACCTGAATAGCTTCTATTCATATAAAATAATAAATATAAAATATTTTCTAAATAACTTTAATATTATTTTATTATGTCAGATGTTCCAATAATAAAGCCAATAAACATAACTGAATATGAATTCAAACAATCTAAATATGAACATGTGCCAAAACTACCTTTTCGCTCAATTGTTGTTGCTTCATCAACGGGTGGCAAAACAGTTTTAATTCAAAACCTTATCCTAAATGTTTATAGGGACTGCTTCGCCCGTATATTCATTTGTAGCCCGTCGGTTCATAATGACCCTACCTTCGTTGAAGTCAAGAAATATCAAAAAGATAATATGAAGGTTGATGATGAAAAAGAAAAGTTATATTATGACACCTACCAACCTGAAGAACTGGAAGAAATAATTAACACACAAAGAAAGATAATTCATTATATGAAAGAACAGAAGATGAAGAAACTACATTCAATTTTAATCATAGTTGATGATTTTGCAGACGACCCTAAATTTGTTAGATACAGCAAGTTATTACATGGACTGGCAACGAGAGGCAGACACGACGCCATTAGTTTTTGTTTAAGTGTTCAAAAATATCGTGTCCTTGCTCCAATCATTAGGTTGAATTCTAGTTCGTTGTATATCTTCAAGTTAAAGAATGTATCAGAGTTAATGTCATTCATTGAGGAAAACTCGGCCATCGTTGATAAAGAGCAACTGTTAAATATGTATCATAAAGCGGTAGATGATAAGCCCTACTCCTTCTTTTATGTTAATATGAATTCCAAAGATGTTAATAATATGTTTTATGTCAGATTTGAAAAAGCATTTAAAATAAAATAAAGATTTAAATATATTATGTTATTTTCTGATTTACCATTAGACATTAAAAACATTGTATTATCTTATAATTTAGGTGATGTTAGATTATTAAAAATAAAAAATAATACTATTATTAAAAATTATATTAATAAATTTAAACCAGTGTATAAGTCTTACAAATTAAAGAATTCACAGTATTTTGAAATTGATAATATCAATATTAATAATGGTATATCATATATTTTTAACTTAAGTGAGTTAGATAAATTACATCAAAAACATAAGCCATTAAAATTATTAATTGAATATGATATATTTGCTACATCTACCTCATTTACTTGTTTGAATTATGTTCGTAATCGTACTTTAACATCAAATAATTTATTTGATATTTATTATTTTCTTAATAAAGACCTTTATGAAACTAATTTAGTGTATAGCCGTAATATGGTTAATTTTATTTCATTACAAGTGAAAAAAATAACTATTAAAGTCATCAATTAAGAAGGACAAAGTTTTATTAGTAAATTTTATTCATATTTTTTAATTAATAATGTTAATGAATCATATTAATATTATTAATTTAAATCAATGAAGCGTTGCATAAATTCAACGCAGGTAATTTATATAACAGTTTGTCCGATTTTTGATTTTCTAACTTTTCTATTCTCGTTACACATTCTTGAATAGATTTTATTATTAAAGTATCCGCTCTCGTTTTTTCATCTACTCTTAAATTCTTAATGTCTTCCATACTGTTATTTTCTTCGTTTTTGCTTTGACCAATACCCATTATATATTATTATTTAGATTTTTCTTTTTTCAATTCCTTAACTTCTTTTTCAAGTTTATCTATTTTATCATTTAATTCTAATACTGCTTTATGAACCAACACGGGTAAAACTAAATAATTCAATCCTAAATACTCTTTATCTTTACATACAATATTTTCAAACTCTTTAGGAATTGCTTTTAATACTTCATCTGCGATATATCCTATATGAGTTTTACCCCCGTCATTTCTATCGTGTCTCTT